AAAGTTCAAGACACTGCAATTGAGAAAAGAAAATGGTGGAAGAGCCCTTCCATGTCTTCAGGACTATTTTTTTGCTGCACAATTAAAACCTTTACTATGTTGGTGTATACAAAGCTATGAGTCTAAATGGAAAACACTAGAAACTACACAAATAGATCAACCTTTACAATCCTTACTTGGTAATAAAAATCAAGCAGAAAAGTACTACAGTAGATTGAGTACTTGGACCGTGTTTTCTTTGAAGTTATGGTTTAGAATACTGAAGAAATTACAATTAGAAAAGCATAATGGGATATTAAGTTGGATAGCATTCGACCCGGACTTTCAACCGTGTACACTAGATAAGAGATTTAAACAGTGGGTTTTGAGAGGAATCACATCATTCAGTTCGGTGACCTCTAATGGACACTTTATGAGTTATCAGACCTTATCAGATACATTTGGCCTGGACAAGCAGGACTTTTACAGATACTTGCAAGTTAGAGATTACTTTAATAAAAAAAATTAAAAATAAATTTAAGGATGATTCTAATTTGATCACAGTATTTGCAGATGCATACATAAAAGAAGAAAACAAAAAACTGGTCTCTAAATTATATGAATGCATACAAAACAGTAAGACTCATTCATCAATTTACATAAAACAAAAATGGGAGAAAGAGTCAAACCAACAAATAACAGAAGAAGACTGGACAGATATGTGTGTCACACATGCAAAAACCACAAACTCGAGAGCTTGGAGAGAGTTTGGATGGAAAAATTTGATGAGGTTCTTCATAACTCCTAGACTGTCTGCATTGCGTACAGGTGTTGAAAGTTTGGGCTCTTGTTGGAGACAATGTGGAACCTCAATGGCTAACTATTTTCATGTTTTTTGGGCTTGCCCAAAAATACAAACCTTCTGGAGTGAAATAGCGACTGAAATAAAAAAGATAATCGGAAAAGAATTGGACTACTCATTTATAACATTATACCTTGGGAAAATACCAGAAGTTTTTCCAACTATTGACAAGTACCTAATTCAAATCCTTTTGGTAAGTAGCAGAAAAGCCATAACTCGAAAATGGTTGCATGCTGACCCCCCGACAAGGGCTCAATGGATAGGAATTGTAAAGGAAATACACTGTATGGAGAGACTCACTTTTAATCTAAGATTTGACTTAAAAAAATATACCAAGTACTGGAAAAAATGGTCTGAATATGTCATTGTAAATAATCTGTGATAATGTATGTCAAACGTATCATGACTTGATTTTGTAACTCTTCCAACAACCACTTTTGTTCTGGGTTTTTTTTTTTTTTTTATTATTATTATTTTTTTTTTTTTTACTTATTTATCTATTTATTTTGATGAGGTTAATTTAATATTTTTATACGTGTATGTATGTAGATGTACGTGTGTTGTATTGGCCTATATGGGTTTGTATGCATATGTATATATGTATTTTTTTTTTATTTGTTTTGTTCCTACTGGTTATGTTCCTAAAAAAATCAATAAAAACTAAGTAAAAAAAAAAAAAAAAACACTTGACAAAAAGAAAACATTATAGTCAGTCCAACATTCTTCAAAATATCTTCTGTTTCAACAGAGGAAACAAATTCATACAAGTTTAGAACCACTTGAGTGTGTGTTGTTTCTGCATGACAAACCATGAATATCCCATAATTCATGGATTTTCTATTTATTTGATTGCATAATCAAGTAACCCACAAAAATTAGCTTTGTTTTTTTTTTTTTTTTTCTCTCTCTTTGTGCTTTCATCTGCGCTAAGGTCCCAGATACAAAAGTAAACATCTTCATAAGAGCAGGATTTTTCATTCCAGGGGCAATCGATTCATTCAAAGCACTGAAAAGCGCATCTACCCACAATGCAGTTTGAGCAGCGTCTGTCCTGCTTCAGGCCTGGAGCGGGTTTGTTTCAATTGACATGCTTGGCAGGTCAGTGAACAGAGCTCTGTGGCACTCCTCCGGCTCTTACCTCTCCATCAGCTCAAATCTGGAGAAATATCGACAACAACCATTTGAATTTGGCAATCTGTGATCTTTGGAGGGAATAATGTGTCCCTGTTTGAGCTTGCAGTGCTTGTAGAAATCAATGTAAGCACGGCATGGTCATCAGAACTGAAGTAGATTGTTTCTGTCACTGGATAAAAAAACTGCAAAAGATGTTAACTTACAGCTGTAAGAAAAAACTTAGGACAAGGGGAAAAGTTTACTATATTTGTCAGACTTTTGATTGTCTAGTTAACTCAGAATTAAGATATAAAAATGAAATTGAAATAAATAAACTGTGGGTGTGTAGATATAAAAATCTAAACTAAGACATGTAGAATGTCATGCAGATTATTTGTTCATTTTTCTTCAGCTTAGTCCCTTTATTCATCAGGGTTCGCCACAGGGGAATAAACCGACAACTTATCCTGCATATGTTTTACACAGCAGATGCCCTTCCAACTGCAACCTAGTACTAGGAAACATTGATACACTCCCATTACAGCCAATTTAGTTCATTCAATTCACCTATACCGCACGTGTTTGAACTGTGGGGTAAACCGGAGCACCCGGAGGAAACCCACACCAACACGGGGACAACATACAAAATCCACACAGAAATTCTAACTGGTCAGCAGGGACTCGAACCAGCGACCTTCTTGCTGTGAGGCGACAGTGCTAGGCACTGAGCCACTGTGTTGCCCATGCAGATGATCCCACATGAAAAAATACTATAGTAATTTAGAGTAAATACTTAAGTGTTTTTGAGGACAAAAAATTATTCTGCATATTATTAAAGTATTCTTTTAACGATTAACGATTATTGATAATGAATGCTTACTCTAGTATTAACTGCCCTAAACCTATAAACTGTAATAAATACTGCAGTTTATTTTTGTTTTTAACCACAGTAAACTGGTTTATTGTAGTAGCCTATAATATAGATAGCCATAGCATAGTAGTACAGTATCCGATATCCCTGTAGTTGTTGTAATGCCATAACAACAATTTCCAGTACTTCACTAAAACATTACATATATATATATATATATATATATATATATATATATATATATATATATATATATATATATATATATATATATATATATATATATATACTATAGTAGTAGTATAGTAATAACTATTTTTTGCGATGAACAACAGCCAATATACTAGCTAAGTAAACAACTAGTTAGAAGTGAGAGTTGTTTCCCACATTAAATCATACAGTGCTGTATTTTCTATCACTAAATGTGCACTAGAAGCTTATAATTATGAAATAAGTCTCAGTAATTATCAGAAGCGCTTACAATTATTTTTTCCCTTACTTCTTCAACACTTCATAAAGCGTTTCTGTAGTATTTATTGTGTATGTTTATTGTGAAGTTCAATGGCGGCATCTGCTGGTCTTGTTAATTTTCTTCAGCTTCTTCTGCTGGTTTTGTATCATTTTCAAAGCATTATGCAAGAGCGCCACACACTGGCGTCAAGATATATTTTTGCCTACTGAAATCTTCAAATCTTTTTATTACACTCTTCTCGCAGTTATTTCTTGGAACCAATGCGTAAATTCTATCATCCTAATTCCTTCTGATATAAAGAAAAGTAAATTGTCAATTGAATCTTTTATTTAGCATAAAAGTATTGCACAAATTGTCCATTTTTAAAAGAAAGGACGTGATTATTACTTTTATTTAGTAATAGTAGTACTTTAGATTATTACATTTAAGCTTACTGTACTTATTATTTAACAGATCCGAGCAGTTATTATTATTAACAACAACATAGATGTTATATAAGAAGTTATACAAAATCAATAGCTGCTGTTATATGATATAATATTACATTGTTATTAAAGCTTATTGGGCAAAAGCAGTTACTTTTATGAGCAGTAAGTTTGGACTTCAGCTACAATTGGATCCATTGTCTTTCATTTTAGGTTTTCTGGTTAGATTTTTGCCTGACAAATTTACTAATCGTTTATTTGACAATTTAGCCTTGGCTGCCAGGAAAAATATACTAATAAACTGGGTCAGTAACAAACCCCCATCCTTGAAAGGGTGGCACAATATTATTAGGGAATAGATTCCCTTAGAAATCCTTACCCTACAGCTGTGTCATTCATCAAGTCTGGACTCCTTACTTAGACCTTATTGATGTTTCTTTAAGATGCATTTTCAAGTTATGGTATGTCATAATTGAATTTATGTATTTCATTTTATTATTATTTTACCTTTGCATGTTTTTTTTTCATTTTTCATGTTTATTTATTTATTTACTTATTATTATTATTATTATAAATGCTATTATTTATTTATTATAATTTTATTATGCATTATTTTAGTATGTACGTATTCTGTTTATTAATTATTTTTTTCTTTAGCTTTGCATTGTTAAAATGGGCATTGTCTGTTGGTTTGTTTCAATGTTTTTTGTGATTAATAGTTTAAATTTTAATAAAAAGATGCAATCAAAATATTACATTATTTCATATTATAATAAATATATGGTGGAAATTTTCTATTAATTCTTTTACTTTTAGTAGTTTGGGTTATTAATTTAAGTTTTGATCAATTCATTTATATAATAATAATAATATATTTCTGATACACTCATAATAAATATTACATAGGCCTAACATGAAAACAATACTAACAATAAATTTGGCGCAATGGAAAAAGGTTGTATATTATGGTGTAATACGTATCACTAATCGTTAGACGTTATTTGTATAGTTATGTCAAAACCTAAATTTATTTGCTCCCTAAATTATTACTGTTATTGTTAGACCAGATAAATTAAGTTAAATGATATGTTCAAACTAAATTAGTTTACTGAACATTTAGAGTTGGGTTGCAGCTGGAGGGGCATCCGCTACGTAAAACATGTGCTGGATAAGTTGGTAGTTCATTCCGCTGTGGCGACCCCTGATTAATAAAGGGACTAAGCTGAAATGAAAACAAATGAATGAACGAATGAACATTTTGTCACCGGAACCACCTCAAAGATCTAAACACGATCAGGGACACGTTTTCCAGACGCACCGCCACCGATTGCAGCGCTTCCGGTTCACCAAAAGCGTGAAATAAGTTGAGCTTTCAGCGCACCTCTGTCGTCGGACATGTCTCATGTTTTGAGGACTCTTGGCACAGGAGTTTTGGCCGTTCAAAGATCAGTGTCCGCCGTGCAGCTCCTGAAGGTCGGCGCTCTGCAAAGGAGTTGCTGTGATGCAGTGAAGGACAGCCAGAGTCCGCCGTTTGACGAGGCCCTGCTGGAGGTCCTGGTGTGTCCGCTGTCCAAAAAACCACTCAGGTGTGATTCTTCATCACACTTTATATCATTATTACCTTCTGTAGTAATTCAAACTGATTATTAAAACTTTGTTTAACCAAATGCCATAGATAATGTATTAAATGTATTCATGTTTGTATTAACGTTATTACTTTTGTTTAGTTAATAATAACAGTAAGCATAAAAATAAACGATAGTAATGCAATGTAGTTCATAATTTTATGATTAATATTTGTTTCACAGTGCTGTCAAAACATTAATTGTATCTAAAAAGAAGTAAACACGGAATTGCATTTAATCACTGTATTTAAATAGACTTCTTATGATTTATGCAAAAAAATAAATAAAAAAACATTTCTTACTTAGAATATTTGTCTTGTTTCTAGTCCAAATGTCTACATTTTAAACCGAAAACAAGATTCAGATCACGTATCCCACTGGCAGATAATTTCCTCAAAACAAGCAAAAACTTATTTTCACTTATTTCTTCTGAGAGTGAAAACTAATTTTTTTTAACAATGATTTTACTTGGTCTTAGAATTTTTTAAATATTTGGACTAGAAATGAGACAAAATAAAGTAAGAAAAGCATATTTTTGTATTGTGATTATTCAGTTTCTGTACCCAAATAATGTTCGACTCCGCAGAAAACCATCAAATAGAGCTATTCAAAACATCTTGTCAAACAGTATTGATAGTGCAATATTTATAACAGAAAAATAAAATATCGCAATATTAGATTTTTCCAATATCGTGCAGCCCTAATATACAATATTTATATACAGAGTACGCACATAATGTTTTGTATTTTATATTTTATTTAATTATAAATACACAATATTTATTCTTATTATACACACACTATTTTTGTATTTTGATCTATTATTTAAATGTATACACAATATTTCTACATAGCGAGTACGCAAACTCATATAAATACAGACTTGTATTTTGTTTGCAAATAATCACTTGACAGCACTATTGTTCATGTTCACAGTAATACTTGCGGTTATTAATTTACATCAACCATATAATATAATTTATTTCATAACTGTTGATAATAGTAATGTTTAAAAATGTAGTAGATGCAAGAACTGGAATTATTATTTTTTTAAAAACAAGCGTATGTGATGCAAAATTTAAAAAAAAAATCTATTTGAGTAGTGGCATAAATAGTATTTAGCATTATTTATTTTTATATTACTTTAGTCATTGGTAAATATAATAATTATTTTTAGAATAATAATCAGTTTTAGTTTTTACTTCAATACATTATTACATTTGCTTCTTATTACTTTCAGTAATGTTCATTCTTTTTCTTTTTGGCTTTGTCCCTTTATTTGTCTGGGGTTGCCACAGTGGATTGAACCGCCAACTTATCCAGCATGTTTTATGCAGCGGATGCCATTCCAGCTGCTTCCCAACACTGAGAAACACCCATACATTCTTGCATTCACACTCGTACACTACGGCCAATTTAGCTTCTCCATACACCACGCATGTCTTTGGATTGTGGGGGAAATCTGAGCACCTGGATCAAACCCACACATACACAGGGAGAACATGTTTTAGTAATGTTAATATGGGGAATAATAAGCATAACCATTGATAATAAGCAATAATAACTGTATTTTTGCAATTTAGGATATTTAAATATTTACCAAAGATTGTTTATGTTTTCATTATCCCTAATACTAATAATACACATATTTACTTGCGTTTTCTTTTTAAAGGTACGACGGAAGCAGCAACGAACTGATAAACGAAGAGCTTGGCATCGCATACCCCATCATTGATGGCATTCCTAACATGATCCCACAAGACGCACGAATGATCCACAAGACCAAAGCACCCGAAAAACCCTCAGAGTCATAACTCAGATTTGCCATTAATTATTTATTTTCCACCACAATGTTTTTCTCCCTATCAACAGTGACTGTACTTGTGCCACTTATATCTTTAACTGGACTGTTTTACTCTGCAGCTGTGGATGAGAATTTCCCACAAGGCTGCACGAGTGCAAGCAGCATCTGTTTTTACAGCCTGCTTTTGCCCGTAACTATTCCTGTGTATGTGTTTTTTCACCTTTGGAAGTGGATGGGAATCAAATTATTTAGACACAATTGATTTCCTTCCACCTTTTAATTATGAACAAAACTTGCTTGTAAACAACGGACACTGAAGATGTAGTCAAGAACATTTACCTTGAAGCAAACGCTGAGGTGAACGATGTTTAATACAGAATAAAACTGCGAATGTTAAAGTTTTGTGTCTTTGTTTGAATTCCAGAACTTAATTTTGTCTTACTTGTGAATCGGTAATGTTTGGTTTTTACTTCTTAGCTCTTTTCTCAGCACTCTCCGTGAGCTTCATCAAAGGACACAAGGGTTTCGGCGAATCTTCACCCTTTACCTTAAAGTAGAAGCACTCATTCAGGCGAGTCTGGATGACCTTCAGATGGGGGACATCGCCTTTGGTTTTGGATGCTATTTCTCCTTCTTCGCTCGACGTATCTGAGATTTTGGTACGATTGGCTGAATTGATAGTAGTTTGTTTTTGTCTTCTTCTGTTCGGCAAGCTCAAATCTATTGGTTCTTCTTCACATCTGGACTTGTTCTGCTGCTGCTGAAACCTAAAAGAGGTGGAGAGTGCTGGAAAGGTGAAGAAGTTTTCTGTTTGAGTGGTCGCTTCAGTCGTCAATGCACATGAACGGATCTCTGGTGGCCTTGTGCTAATGGCTTCGTTGCCGCTTGAGCTGCTGGAAATCTCCACCGGTGGATCCAGGAATGATTTCTGCGTGATAAACAGGTCTTGGCTGCTCATTTCTTCAGCTATATTGTATTCCAAGCTGCTTTCGACGATAAACTGCTTCTTTGAATATTCATCGTCACTTGTTTGGTCTTGCTCAGGAGGCAGGTTGAAGATGACTCGCTTTTTTTCTTTCCCCACGTGTTTCTTGTGACATTTGTTTTTGATTGTTTGTGGTTTCTTCTGGACCGGAGAGATGTAAATGATGGGTTGAGTTTGGTGGAGATGTTTGGGTTGTTTTCGGACTTTAGGGTACTGGAGGTCTTTTTTTGCTTTCTTTGTCTTTTTGGTTTGTGTAGAGAGCATCTCATGCAAGCTGTAGTGTGTCAGGAAGTTTGCCACGTGCTTATTTTTTTTCTTATCCTTTTTTTCCTTCTTTGCCTTCTTTTTCTTGTGTTTATGCTTCTTGAACACTGTAGCATTTTCAATGTTGGGAATTATGACTTTTGTTGAAGACATTATTTCTATAAAACAGAGAGTAACAGTGTAAAGCTGTAGTTAGATATTAGCAAAATCACCAAAAAGTCATATACAATTTAGGCATAAGACGATAACCGGTTTTAAGGTTTACAGCGGTTTGGAAAAATGAAGGTTTTACTTCACTGTCATACAGTGAAACCGTGGTATTTTTTTATGGTATAAAGTTATCATACCGTCACAAACTAGGCCCATGCCTAATCCAAATAAGCTTGTTTCATCAAGTGTGCATTAAAGAAACCTTTTATTAAAAAATATACAAAAACTTAAAGTATTTGTATTTATCCTAAGACCTGTGCAAATATGAAACTGTAAATCTAAAAAACTTGAACATGTATTATCTATAAAAGAAGACAAAAATGTTTGTTAAATGTTAGAACATTTAAATTGTTTTTAAGAATATGATAGCTTTAAATAAAATGTAATAAAATATTACTTTTCAGTGTATTGATTTTACTTACTACTATATATATATATATATATATATATATATATATATATATGTATATATGTATATATATATATGTATATATATGTATATATGTATGTATATATATATATATATATATATATTATATATATGTATATATGTATGTATATATATATATATATATTATATATATGTATATATGTATGTATATATATATATGTATATATGTATGTATATATATGTATATATGTATGTATATATATATATATACATATATATATATATATATATATATATATGTGTGTGTGTGTGTATATATGTATATATATGTATGTGTGTGTGTGTGTATATATATATATATATGTGTGTGTGTGTGTGTGTATGTATGTATATATATATGTATATATATATATTTATATATGTATACATACATACATATATATATATATATATATATATATATATATATATATATATATATATATATATATATATATATATATATATATATATATATATAGGCATCCAAAAAAAGCATCAAATTATTCACTTAACATGGCTATTACAGCTTGCAATGCAGACCCGTAACCAGTTCAGAATTTGTATATTTTTAAGTATTCAATTTGACAAATTCTGGCTGAAAAATTTTTGATTCCTAATAGTTTATGATGAATGCAAATAAAATTGTATTTTAAAAAAGCTTTATTCACACTTTCAAAACTATTCAAAATTCTTAATTTAAAATTTTAATCTCATTACATCATTTATAAAAATGTAATGACTGCACATTAAATGCACAATAAAACCGTTTAATTGCACATTTCTAAACAAACACTTTGTGGTAAATGTAGTATGATAAGCATTTTGACAAAATTGTAGGAAATATTTTTGTTGCCTCAAAAAGTGTAGTTATGATCACCATGCGATAAGCTAATGGAGCAAAGATTAATGCTTAAAATGTCACTAAAATGCAGTGTTTGAACCTCACAATTTAATAGAAATTGAGGAGAATAACTACAAAAAGCTCCCCTTTTTAAGAAAAAAGAACCACCATGTTCAAATACAGTATGCTGGCTACAGGCCTGTAATGTTTCAAGCACAACGGCCCTTTATCAGATTTATATCAGATTTAAAGATTAGGTATAAATACATTTATTCATTCATTCTCCTTCCACTTGGTCCCTTTATTCATCAGGGGTTGCTACAGTGGTATGAACTTATCCTGCATCTGTTTTACACAGCAGATGCCTTTCCGGCTGCAACCCAGTACTAGAAAACACCCATACACATTCATTCACACACATACACTATGGCCAATATTCTCTGAATATTTAGAATATGAAATGCACGAAAGCTATTTTGATGTTTGAAATATTAAAAACAAAATGTTAAAATTGTGTAAAAATAAATATAAAAGACAAGTATCTCATTTAGGTGCTCACTTTAAATGTATTTCATAAAAACATAGATTACGTAAATCATCACCTCATCAATGTGAAGTTTTCTGTTTGTCTTGTGTTTCCTCCACCAGCACCTGTAGATGTAAAAAAAGTTATTTTAATTAAATATGTTAAATGATATTTTATAAACAAAGTCTTACATAACTCTTACCTCATTTAACTGATCACTTTCCTTCAGACAGATCGAGTCGAGTGCACCGTGGTCTAGCTGTACATGACACATACATACTTTAGTAAAGGTTTAGCTACAATGTAACATCGTGACATCACTCGCTACAGATTAGCAACATTTCTTACATTAACAAATGTGTTCAAAAACGCGTCTTAAGCGACTAAATATACTACAGGCTGCAGTTACACTACATATATTTAACATATTGGGACTGAAACAACAAGAAAACTGTCACGTACTTACACACTCCAGCAGTTACCGCTTCAACGTAATGCGCGATATGCGCATGCTCAGTAAGTATCGACTACTTCCATAAACATTTTTTTTTAGAAAAGGTTATTTTATGTCATTTTATTTAGTTAAATTCAATATAAACACAGTTTAAAATACATTAATAAATTAGTTCATCAAAAGTAAGTGTAAAGAAAATCACAGTTAAAAATCAGTTTTACTAAACATGGGCCTTGTCGTAAATCACGCCGTTGCCGTGACGACGTTTTGCTACGTAACCTTTATTTCTTTTAGTCAGAGCTTGAATAAGCGTCAGTCCCGCGTGCGTCACTCGAGCTGTCAGGCAAGTATTTTCATTGCTGGAGAAATCCCTCTCTCACATAAAGGGCGCTTTTGTAGCTTTTCTTGTAAGGAATGGCTTCCCCGGTCTATCACGTCAGCAAACAGCAGCTAAAATAATTTTACTGCCACTCTGTTTTTAGTTCAGTGGTGATATCTCATGTGAACGTGCATTAATGAGCGTTGGTTTCTGCTAGGCTACGAAAGTAATGATGACTCAAACAGCGTCACTGCCCACGTAAAAATACTACAGTGATTTATAGTATAGTTGTGTGGTATTGTACTGTTTACAACACTTAAAGAATACTTTGACATACTATGGTATTACCAGTCGTTACTGATATACTGTATTAAATACTGTAATATAATGTAGTATTTTACTATCGTAAACTGTGGTGTATTAGTGTAATATAACCTATAGTTGTAGAAAACTACAGCATTGGGTCATTTGTTTATATTATAGCTGATTAATTCAAATGCTTTACTATGTAGTATAGGTAAAGAACAGCACAGTATTGATTATGCATTACTATAGTATTTTCAAATGTGGGTAGATTAGTAGAGATGCAAAAGGCTCAAGTTTATTATGTTACAAAAGAGATCATTTGGATTTAAATTCCCAAACAAAGCAATACATTTATTTTTGGGCTTACTATGATGTTTATATTATTTATCCATAAATTGTATATAATACTGCACTTTCTTTATGTTGCATAATGTATATTTTGGTATATTACACATTGTATAAAATATATGTGCTTTTTAAATACTGAACATGAGAACTTTGCAAGGTTTATTCTGTAAATGGCAAATCTTATATACAAACTATATTTGATACTATAAGATATGTTCTTTTCTTGAATCTATATTTCATGCAAACACATCTCTGTTTCACTTGTTGCCACGTATTCATGTCATACAGTTTTTACCCACTAAAAAACAAAGCAATTTTAAATGTTCGAAATGTGTGTAATTTAATACATAAATTAAATTTATGGTTCCTCGTGGTAGTGGGTGGACCTGAAGTATGGAGTTCAGTATGGTGTTCTGTGAGATGATATAATGTCCTGCACTATTACAGTCTCTGAAATAACTATATTACATCAACAAAAAAAGTATACATTTATTTAAAAAATATTTTAAAATGAATTTGATTGTATCTCGTTTCAGAAGAAGCAAAAGAACCAGAAGGAAAAGAACCAGAGGATTAACGGTGACCACTACACCAGTCTGTACTAATTACATATTCCACAAGAGCAATCTACTCAAACAAGTCAAACACAAATACACTGCATTTTGCACTGAAGCATAAATACAGGTAAATGCAATCTTAACTGCTAGTCACTTATGTTGGTTTCTGTGGGTGGTAAATTATTTTGTATTACTCAAACTTGATCAAATTTAAAGCGTGTTACAAATAAATTACTTTTCATTCATTCATTTTCTTGTCGGCTTAGTCCCTTTATTAATCCGGGGTCGCCACAGCGGAATGAACCGCCAACTTATCCAGCAAGTTCCCATCTCTGGGAAACGTCCACACACACATTCACACACACACACACACACTCATACACTAGTGACAATTTAGCCTACCCAATTCACCTGTACCGCATGTCTTTGGACTGTGGGGGAAACCGGAGCACCCGGAGGAAACCCACTCCAACGCAGGGAGAACATGCAAACTCCACACAGAAACGCCAACTGAGCCGAGGCTCGAACCAGCGACCCAGCGACCTTCTTGCTGTGAGGCAACAGCACTACCTACTGTGCCACTGCTTCGCCCCAATTACTGGTCATTTAATCCTATATTTTAATATTTGTAAATGCATCTTTACCCCACTTGTCTGTATAGTCACACAAAATCACATCTGCTCTCCTGCAATAGAACTGTAACTTTGCAATCAAGATCTCTTTTGCTGACTACAACTCTCTGATTGGTGGAGTTTCTGTTAGGCATTAGGCAAATGTTGTTTTTCTGTATACATTTTATATGAAAGGGCACCTATGATGCAAAATGATCTTTTGAAAGCTGTTTTGACAGAACTGTGTGTAGGTATAGTGTGTCCCCTGTCATATTGAAGGGATATAAACACAACATGTCTTATCTTTTCTAAATTTCCTGACATTAAAATGGGATCCAAATCCCAATTTGAGGCCCACATTCCCCACCAATCGAATTGATTGACAGGCACGTGTTAACATGTCTCCATAGTAACATGTATAATCATATCCACAAGAGTGCACTTGCAAAGTGAGTGGCATTAACATTTATTCTACTCTCTATAATCAGCTGCACACCAAGAATGAGTTTTACAAGTTTAAGACAATTTTTAAAAAGTGCATGAATGTAATAAGGACAGTAAAATTGCTGTAATCCATCTCTACAGCCACGTGTCAGTAAAATTACAAAAGAAGATGCTACAATCTCGGTTTGTGGACGTTAAATTAGGTACAATAACAAAACGAATGTCCATACAGCAGTGGATATTAATGTGTCTCCTGTCACATTTGTCATACAAAAACAGTGCAAAGTTAAATGTGTGGGTCCTGCGAACTTTGTAACAGCATTTGTGTATAACTGATCGTTGCAGAAAGGCTTAAAATAAATTAACAACAACTACATCAAATAACCATTTTAA